CCACAAAAAATATATTTTTCAAATGTTATTTTAACATTTATTTGAGATCAATGCAACATCTTAAAAATATTTCTGACGATTAAAACGTTATGGCAACCCTATTTCAACATTATTGAAACTTCCAAATCGCGATCAAAGTATGTTTATAATGATTTTCTACACAATATTAAACATTACATATTTGACAATATTACAGGTTCTTGAATACCATTGTAGTAACGTTATATTAATGATTTCTTGCTTACTGGGTAAAATTCTTCATTATTTAGCAAATAATTTTAACTTTATGAATCTCAAGTTATATCGATTAAGCTATATTTATTTCAAACGAGAGATTGATACAAACAATTGAATAACGGTCTGTAAATGTAAATCTATGGTTTGTTCATATTGCTTGCACTTTTCGCACTCGATCTATTCGCTCTTGCTTTTACCAGCATTCGAATAATTGCGTCCGTCTCATTCTAAGTGCGAAAAGTGCAAAGAGTGCAACATGAACAAATTTTGTATTGAATTATCCTCTTAATCAAAGGTCGTGGATGATTTGCTACAAATACCTACTTTAGAACGTACTCTCGCAAAGGACTCCGCAGAATTCTTATGGGGAACGGCTTTCGGCTAATTTTTTTAAAAATTTGATACGTGTAGTTCTCAACACGTAGAACAAAAGTGTCCATGACCCCAAGATCCGATCACGGGTAGTTTTCGAGATACAGCACTCCAAAGTTGGGCTTTTCGTACCTTATTGCAGCGTAGTGCGGGTGTAGTCGATGTCGATGTACGATGATGCTTACGATTAAAGTGGATGTACAGGTGCTTGCTTGTTTGTGTGTGTGCGTGTGTGTGTGTGTCTGTCTGTCAGGAGAAATAAGGACCCCACGGTTCGTCACTCCCGCAGTATTTTATAACTCCAAACCCTCTCTACTGTGTGTGTGTATGTGTGTGTGTGTGTGTGGGTGGGTGGTGTGCGCGCGCACATTATTCATGAATAATCTCAATATTCCGAGGATTATCTGGAAGTTCTCGGTCTGCGGCATGCAATGTGGTATTGAGCAATGACGTGTCAGGATATTTGATATTTCCCTGATGCAAAACCTACTACAAACCGCTGGCAACGTGTGCACATTTACCTAGAGTACGAGCTCCAGACTGACATGTCCATTAATTAACTCATTAGGATTGTCAGCAGCATTCTAATCATCCTTATTATCGATCTCGTATGAAATGAAGATCTGATGTCTTGTTGCATTACGAAATCTGGAATACAACCTAATTCTCAGAAAACCTGGCTCGTTGAAATGTTGATCAAGTTGAAATTCTTCATCATTATCCCTTAGCTTATCTTGAATATACGAAGGTGCTAGATTTATTTGATAAATGCCCACGAGATCGATAATAGGGATGATGAGAATGCTGCTGACAATCCTAATGAGCCAATTAATGGATATTATTGTACGTGTCAGTCTGGAGTTCGTACTTTAGGTACATATGCACACGTTACGTTTTGTGGTACCTAGGTTTTGCACATCAGGGAAATATCAAATACCCTGACATGTCATTGCTCAATGCCACATTGGATGCTCAATATTCCAGATAAACCTCGGAATATTGAGATTATTGATGAATAATGTGCGCGCGCACACCACACACACACACACAAGCAAAAAAACAAGCACCTATACACCCACTTTAATCGTAAGCATCGACATCGACTGCATCCGCACTACGCTGCAATAAAGTACGAAAAGTCCAACTTTGGAGTGCTGTATCTCGAAAACTACTCGTGATCGGACCTTGGGACCTTGGACACTTTTGTTTTACGTGTTGAGAACTACACATATCAAATTTAAAAAAAAATTAGCCGAAAGCCATTTCCCATAAGGATTCTGCGGAGTCCTTTATCGTATAATCTCGAACGTAATCTCGCTGATTTATATACCTAATAATGTCCTTTGGGTAATGAATTTTATTTTGTTGGCAACTGCCAATATTACACTTCTATGTGTTTATGATTGTACCGTGTAGAAATTTAAATTTTTATCGATGCATAGTATTATTGAACCTTACTATGTTTGCTTTTCTTTCTGTTCACTCTTTCATATCTTCAAATCCTATTAAAATTCCCAACAACAGTAAAACAAGAAATAATCAAAGTGTTATGAAGAAAGAAAGTTCATATTGTGTTTCATATATACATTTAGCTGTTAATCCATATTAGATTTAATATCTGCTTATATATACCAATTAAATACCCAGTAAGCAAGAAATCATTAATACAACGTTGCTACAATGATATTGAAGAACCTGTAATATTGTCAAATATGTAGTGTTTAATATTGTATCAAACATCATTATGAACATACTTTGACCACGATTTAGAAGTTTCAATAATGTTGAAATAGGGTTGCTATAATGTTTTAATCGGTAGAAATATTTTTAAGATGTTGCATTGACCTCAAATAAATGTTAAGGTAACATTTAAAAAATATATTTTTTGTAATGTTTTTAAAACGTTTAAACAACATTCAGAAAAATTATATCACAAAATAACATGTGAAAAATATAAATGCAATATTATTAAAAATATCCAAACAATGCACATAAAGCCGTCAACGTTTCTAAATGTTAAAGTTCTTTGCTTACTGGGTATACTCTATTTACAATGCAGCGAGTTACACAGTCAATATATTTTTTATTAAAATTAAGAGAACAATGAGGCTCCTCTGTGCTCATCTTCACTAGTGACATCTGAAACAGAAAAACATATGCCTAAAATTCTTATTACAGAATATATCGAAATGAAAAATAATGTTCATAAATAACAGTTGGGACTGATTGAGCATATTTGTCAAATATTTCGAAAATTTTTGTTTTAACAATCGATATAGATAATCTCGTAAAAATTAACGTGACATATAGCCTTTCTTTTTAGCCTAACGATTCTTTTCCTCACGTTAATTTATTGGTTTTTATTGATTGTTAGAGTAAAAGGAAAGTTTTTGAAATATATTACAAATGTGTTCAATCAATTCCAAGTGTCACTTTATGAACATATCTTTTTATTTCAGTATATTTTGCAAGAATTTTGGGTATACGTTTTTTCGCTTCTGACGTCAGTAATCAAGAGTTCCCTGGCGAGGAACCAGGAGCCTTAAATGAAGATAGAATGTCGTGATAGTCGAATATGAAATAATTTAGGAACAAGTATTTTAAACTATGCAAGAGATAATAAGTAATAATTTGTAGCATAAAGGTAGGACTATAAGTTTATATAACATTATATTTCAAGATTTCCTCCATTAGCTCCATTGGTTTTCAAGTGCAGTAAAATTTGCACAATTAATCTAGAAGCAAAATTTCAGAAATGTCATTAGTTCTATCCATGTACTCATAAAGTTCTATCCACGGCGGGGATGAGGGAAAAGACACACGCGGCCGACAACGTTCTCAAAGTGCTAATTTTATTTATAGGTTTTTCTTTATGACACAAATCACTTTTAGCATCTACATGAGTAAGAGTACGGCTATACGAGAATGAATTTGATACAGATCACTTATTAATGTAAATACAATGTTCCTCCTCAATTACACACTCTATCAACTAGATACTTAGAAAACACTGTACAACGCAGCTGAGAACTGTCGCGATTGATACTTTACAATATGGTACAACCACTCCTTGAAGCGAGACACGAGCTCCGAATCCGACTTGTCCGCTCGAGGACCTTTCCACCTCGTCTGCCTTAATGAAGGGAGGAAAAGGGGGGTATCACCCGCGACCCGTAGGATTTAACGACGCGCATACTGCTCTCGATACCCTCCTCTTGTGCGGACTGTAGGCCATATCGAGCGAGTTTGCCCGCCGAGGATCGCATTCTCCCGGAAGCACGCATCTCCTTGCATCAACAACGTTCCCCCGCGAGATATCGAACGCAACTTCCGGTGTCACCGCAGGCACTCCGTCGCCGCCGCCGCCGCCGCCGCCGAATCCTTCGCGACGTAGTCTCGTTCCTAGCAAAGTGAAGAGGGAGGTAGCGTGACGCGAGCGAGCTTCAAGAATATACCGTCCTCCTCTTCGAGGAGAATCTTCGCCATACTTGGCGTTCAAGGGCGCGTCAATTGACATGTCCGATTATCCGCTGATAGGACTATCACCTCCGCTCGCGTCACCCTCCTCGTACAGTGCAGTCATCGTTGCATACACGCACGCATACAATAATACATCGCGCGACTTCGCGAGTCTTGTATTCTCGTCTAGTGGCTACGTCTGTCAGTACGACCTGGTGGTGATGGTGACGCCGCTGGTCTGCCGTCTCCTTTTTCCCTCGTGCTCGTCTTATGAGATGTCGCTGGTCGTCCTTGCCCCGTACTTACTCGGTAGAGGTACTTCGCTTCCTCGATCGAACGCATTCCGCAGTCAGCATTTCTCTTCCTTTCTCACGTATTCTTATACGTACGCGATAAGTTTGCCCAAGTGCTCTGAATGACGAGTGAATCGCGTTCTCTTGCTTTGCCCACGGCTCGATTCGTTTCGGTAACATACAGAACGTTCGACGAGCGAGATAGAAATGAGGCTTACATTAAGATTACCAAGAAGTAGCTCCTTAGAAGGAAACATGTGGAAGTATCCCTGCAGATTCAGATGGGCTTCGAATACGTGTGCGAAACAGCATAGCTGTCTATAACATAACCAAGATTCATCAAAATAGGTGAGGGACGCTTTCATATGCTTCTTTGTTGGTATCTTTGTTCAGTCTGCTCGTCGAGTTCGATCGACAAACGAAGAAGGGCGGGAAAGAAGGGGTGAAGGAGAACGGTGGTTGAAGAGAAAAGAAGATGTATAAGAGAGTTGAGGGCAAATTCGCGTCGATAGGCCCCGTGCTTCACTGGCTGACTGACTGACTGACTGACTGACAGAACGACGTTGTTGAACGGATCGTAAAGTATAAAAACAATATGTATTATCAATAATATTGGCATGGTGTTGTTATGGCACGTTCAATTTGCTGCTACACTCAGCGACGCGTTTTTTTCTTCACAGCGACTGTCAAGTTGCTCGCTATACAGACACCGTATAAGACTCAGTCGGATGAGAGAGGGTGGGGAAAAAAAGAAATAGGAAAAACATAGAAAAAACGCGTTGCGAAAGGGAGAGAAGTAAAGGGGATAGAGGAGGGAAAACCATTTTCGCCGATATTCGCGTACACACTCGCGACGTTTATATTCCCGTTTCGTAGCGCAGAAACGCGCGCGATCTTCGGCATTCACTTTCTCTCTCTCTCTCGCTTTCTCTCTCTCTTTCTCTCTCTCGCTCGATCTCTCTTCATTGCACTTTCCCATGCGCCGCAACAAATGCTCCTTTAACATATTTATTTTATATACAAAAGAAGAGCTGCTTTTTCTCCATAAACGAACGCACATAGAACAATCGTAACAAAAGACCCGCTAACGCGCCTTCTCTCATTTTTCTCCTGTAAAATGGTAAAAAGGATTAGATTGCACCGAGATGTCACGTAACAAAAAAAATTGATCGCTATTAATACACGTCGCAATTGTGTGTTCGACTTATCGCGCATGTTCGATGCGCGATTCAAGCTGCTTACAAAGCGACATTGTGAATTACCCGCTGCGAGAAATCGAAGGAACTCTTAAAGCGGAGGCGAATTTTTGTCTCGCGTGTATAGAAAATATCGAGCATATGGAAGATGGACAAAGAGGTCGATAAAAGTCATTCGAAAAAAAAAAAATCAGTTCGAAACTTATTTATAAAGTGAGTAAAGGGATAAAAAGTCTGGTACATATTCACAAAATGATGATTGCGAGCAGCTTGTTACCGCGCAAGTAACAGTTTCTTGGTACATTCGCAAACAAAGCGTCTACACAAATTCGCACATCGACATATTTATCATTTTCAATACATTCATCGCAATGTCAGAGAGGTACGTTTTCACTTATCGTTTGCTCGTTACACCATAAAACAAGGTAATATAATAGAACGTACAAAAAAAAAAAAAA